GGCCTACAAGCGCAAGTGGATGTACAGCGCAAATTGGAGCGTGTGTGTGCGCGTGCCTGCGTGCGTGAGTGTATGCGCGTACGTGTGCGTGCGTGCGTGCGTGCGTGCGTGCGTGCGTGCGTGCGTGCGTGCGTGCCTGTGTGCGCGTGTCCATGTGCATGTGTGGGCCAAGTACACGTGGGTATGTTAGTGTGGACGTGCATGTGAGCTGCTGTGTGTGTGTGTGCGTGCGTGCGTGCGTGCGTGCGTGCATATAAAAGTGGGGGTAAGACATACCTACTACTATGCAGGTACGTGAACGCGTTACACGGTACTGCGCGCATGCACGGGTAAGGTGGGCGACTAATATCTCCTTACTGACTCTGTGATAGCTTGCAGTGGCTGCAATACTGGTTCAGTCATCGTAGGGCGCAGGGACAACTAGTCCTCGCTGGCACTAAGCTCCCGCTAAAGCAATTCGCACGGAATTCGTGCGAGGGGTTTAACAATATTTAATGAGGCAAAGAAACGATCCCAGTTGTGTTTTTTTCTAGCTGTGTGTGTGTGTGTGTTGTGTCGTGTGTGCGTGATGTGTGCGTGCGTGCGTGGCGTGCGTGCGTGCGTGCGCTGCGTGCGTGCGCTGCGTGCGTGCGCGTGCGTGGCGTGCGTGCGTGCGTGCGTGGCGTGCGTGCGTGCGTTGCGTGCGTGTCGCTGTGTGTGTTGTGTGTGTGACTGTGTGTGTGTGTGGTGTGTGTGTGTGTGTGTGTGTGCGCGCGTGTGCGGTTGCCATCGTGCGTGACTACATGCCATTCGTGAGTGCGTGCGTACATGCATGCGTGCGTGCGTGCGTGTGTGTGAGCGTGTAGGCTCTTGTGTCTGACTTCTCTGTCAGATGTTTGTAACCGGGGTTGAGGGTGTTCAAGCATAAAATCGATTAGCACTCAGACATGTAGGCATTCGTCTACATCTATGTGGCGTAGAAAACCGCAGACATATATGCTAAGTGTGCCGCTACAGGAGGTTTCTGATATCCTAACCCTGCATAGTCTATTGTCAGTACAGTGGTGGTGATGAAATTCTGATTGTTCATCATTAAATGTTTGAGTCACCAGCGTATAGTCTCTTAAGTAAACCGATGCAAGATCCTCATGTCAACCACAACTTAAAGTCAGTTGCTACGATTGCTTAATCCACGAATCTACAATTGCTAAATCCATAGCGAATCCAATTCCTTAAATATTCAGCGTTAACACTGGGCGGTGCTGTCGCGCACGCTTGTCAGGTTATACACGCGGGCAGACGCGTCGTGCGCGAGTTATTAAAACTAGCTGGAACCCGCGCTAAGCGCGGGCTTAGTGACTGTGATGCATGTGTTACCAGTAGTTGTTATGTGTAATGTGTTGTGATGGAAAGTTTAGTGTGTTGGCACATGTTTTTTTTATGGTTGAGATGTCAATACAAATACATGTACAATAGCCGGAAATCTGAAATACGTGATGGACGACCGGCCCCCGATCCGATATCTGCTCTGATCAAATTCAACTTGTACATCTCATATCGAAAACTATGCCAAAATAGCTACTGAACATTTAACTTCATTATTACATGCTTATTTCTACTTACATTATTGGGCTTACAAAAATCTCTGTGCATTGAGATGCAAATAATGCAAAAGATTGCGAAATATGAGCAAGCAAAGATATAGCGCCCCCTATTTTCAGGCAAATCTTTACCTTTTTTGTGTGTGTCTTTTTTAAGCGTTTTTTACGGTTTTCAACCGAATATAGTTTAGTACCCGTCCCGTGTATTCATCGATCTCTTCTGTGAATTTGGCGCTATTTGGATCAAAACTGACGGAGCCTTTCATTAACATACATACAGCATTCGCCAAATTATAGTAAGATGTAGCAAATCTGTGACGATCCGTCTGCATGGGTTGTTACGTGTATCTGCTGGCTGTCGAAGCTGCGGGTTTTTCCGGATTGTTGCCACGCAAGAGCAGAGGCCGGTTGTTTACGAAACCATCGTTACCGAACAGCTTCATCGTCTCTGCGCAGCTTCCCCATCTTCATATATCTACAGCTTCATTCACCCCTCATACATCTACAGCTTCA